TTGAGAATGTCAAACAGTATGTCCATGCCAACAGCATATTACCAGTGCGTTTCGCAGGGCAACAAGTTGCTACGGCATGCGTTGAAAATAAGCACTTGGTACCCGCAGGTTGTTTCGTACCCTCAAACATGAATTAGCGAACAGTCGGTAATTTCAGCAGCGGACCCAGATCAGAAATATTACGTTATATACAATACATTTATTTTATAATTTTAATTATACATTTTGCAGCAGTTCAGGGCTGAAGTTAAAAGCCGTATCTATGTTGTGTTAAAATCTTGAAATTTAATTGGATCATTAATTACCATTCGGGGCTTCATATTATGCGTGTTCTTAAAGTTTTAATTTAGTCTTTCTGCTTATTGCTTTTACTGCCCATTGGTTTGTATATGTTTTCAATATGTTAAAAAATTGTCTAGTCGTCAGCAAGCAAAAATTTGATTGGGCATTGAACACGTCATTGAGTAATGCACAAACAAAACGCCGGCTGGCGGTTTGCTACTCAAACAAACGAGTATTGTTTCTTCAAAAGTCCCCCTTCCATATTCCGGGGTGGATCCCACTTGGTATCTTTCCAGTTCCGCCTCTGGTAATCGCGCGTTTCTGTTTCCGAGATTGGATTTACTCAGCGTAAATGCACCATCTTCTTGATTCTAGAACCCGAAGGGTTCCGTTTAAACAGACCATGGTTCTTTGATATTTGAGCACATGCAGTGCAAGTGCTGAAATAACATTTGGAGATGTGGACTACTAAGTGGTCCGGCTAATCGACTAAAAGCAACGGCGCGTTGCGCTTACGTTTAATGTTTCTTATATCACAAATTGAAAGGTGCTGTTATCAACACCCGTTTTTGTACACTGCTTTATCGAAGTTTAAAATATTACATGAAACAGTTTCAGTAATATGTTTTTACACCTTTTTCAGCTTATGCTTTTTCCATGTTTTCTTCTGACTCATGACTGAGTCAGTCGATTTGGAAAAAATAAAGCAAGAAGTTGCAAGGGTGGCAGCTGATATCGAGGACCTGAAGTTACGGAATTCAGAAATCACTGGTAATTGCAAATTTAACATTCAGGAAAAAAATAACTCATATTCAGAATTGATATTTTTCATATATAATTAGCGCCATTTTTTGCTGATATACGCAAAAAAATAATCTTCTTTGATTATGATGTCGGTTAAATCGCCACAAAATAATGATATCTTACGGCGATTTCTGTTTGCTCGGAAAATTGAATGTTCTCGGAATGGAGAATACTAAGAAGTGACGGAGACAGAATAAAAGAAAAGAGAAGACAACAAGCAAAAGGAGACAACGATGGAAATGATAGTGAACGGGATGAAGTAGTCGAAGAAAGAAAACACGATGATGATGATGCAGAAGCCGAAAGCCTAGGTAACAGTATAGCCGTCAGCAAAGCGTGATATTTTCAGAACAACGTGGTACAAAAGTAGATAGTTTTCATTCTAAACTTGTCGACTTGAGGATAAGCAGAATGAGACGTTTTCCGCTACGCTTTTTCCTGAAGATCCTAAACAGGTACATTAAGAAAGACTGCCAGTGCAACTCAACAACTTTTATGGCAGTTTCCTGTTGGTTTTATATCTGTTTACTTATTTGCGTATTTATTTGCGAGCGCTGATGTTGTCTGATTAATGTCAGCCAGCTGTCAGATGGGTCAAGTGTAATTATAGACATATGGCTCGCATCAGACAGCATATTCGCATACCTTGGTATGACTGCTTCCAGCGCACCATCGCATCCCTATTATTTGCTGCTCAGCGAATTTCTCGGCTTACTGTGCTGAACTACAGTTGGATGAGTTGCTTCCTCGAGGGAAATGGCAGTCCGAAACTTACGCATCGCATGGAACTCAAAGTCAGCACCTAGCGTAAAGAACAATATTACGTCACTGCCCACAATGGATTTAACATGTATTATACTGTCTATTTGCATAGACATTCGGCTACTCTTATCTATTATTTACGTTAGTTGTAAACTAGGCAAAATTCTACTTTTGCGAAGGTTGAGTCCAGTACTTTTACTCTGACACTTGAATCTTATTGTTTCTTCTTTTGAACAATCAATTGTTCAGAAGAAGAATCAAGAAATCATGTATCCAGTTGCCTCAGCTTTCTCTAAATGGCTGCAGATTTTATGTACTGTCAGTATTACAAATAAATGAACAAATGCTAAAATCAGTTCAGCCTTTTTTGACAGCAATGAACAGTTTTTAAGCATAAGTTATCAAGCCTGTTCACACATATATGCCTATTGAATCTAAATGTGGTTTTTAGCTTTGGCTTACGAAACGCGCGCGAAACTGTTGCAAGTGACGACTAGAAACTCGAAAATAGTTTCCGAGGTGGAAAAGTTTTTATCCTGCGACAGATGTCCAAAATGCATGAATCCTGAACACTAGGTTGTTACCGTTTTGCATCTGGTTTATTCTTTACGTTGTGGGCGTATATTTCTACTAACGTTTTTCTATGGAAAGGGACGGATTGCAATTTTTAATGGAGGTTAGCAGAGCGTGGGAATCTGGGCAGCCAAGATCAGGTATATCGTCAGAACCGGTGTGGTGGAAAACTTACGTTGAAGCCCGAAACGCACTAATTTCCAAATTGCTAGTGCTCTTGGCTTGTGATTTTGATACGCCGTTTCATGCAGCTCTCAAACTGAACGCCGACCGTCTGTTACGTAGTGCCGAATTTATCGCTGTTCTCTATTCAATGTGCACATCGGCTTTGAGGAACCGATGGCAGACACAACCTCTGCCTCAACTTTCGTTGACAAACGCGCCATGGCGTTCGTCGTACCGTTCTCCTCGTGCCCGTGCCTTGATCGTTAGAGCTGCTGCCACGAAAGATGCGCATATCGAAAAGGAATGTTGGTCTGCACGATTTCCAGAAGGTGAGGGAAACAAGAACGATGATATGACCGACCCGTTGCCACTGATGACGACGTATAGCTTTCGATCATCGTTCACCAGTGTCTGGTCAAACATGTTCCTTGCGAAGCTGACTTGCTTAATGATCAAAGTTTCGTTGCTACTGAAGATATCGTTTGCAGCCGACGAGCTTTGTAACCGATGCACTTGGCCAGCATCGGCGTTGCGCGGCTGGTTTCGAGTCAACATGTCTCCTCGAGATTTGCTTCTTGTCATCAACATGCTAGGTTTAGTCAGAAGGAAGATGCGACCGTCTTCGAAGCGACCCGTGGCGGGAGACGGCGATGATCTGAACGAGGTGAAGAAAAAGAAGAAGCGTCGAACAAACGATGACCCGATCGTCGTTGTCCATGAAAGATGGAACTCCGAAGGCCACGGTTCGTTTGACGATTCTGTCAATTCGCAGAAAAGTTTGTTCTCCGATGATACATTGTCGTCAGTCGAATTTCTCGTAGAACCCAACGAGCAGCGACCGTCGTTTAGTCCAAGCACGTTTTACGACCTGGCCACGTGGACATCGGCGCATCCGTTAGCGCAGTCCACACCTTTCGACCAGCCGGAGGTACACGAGCCTGTGACAAAAGCCAGCGTTCCACAGCAGTTGACAGGAACGACCCCCCACACGACAAATCATGAGCCGCCAGAGCGTTTAGCTTTTTTCACCCAGCTGTTGAACACCACATCAAGTCAATGTCCATCTTCGCAGACTGTCCACAGTGGCCATCTGATTTCGTTTAACAATCAGTCACAGGCGCGAAAACGGTTACGGGCCAATGTGCCACCGTTGGCTTGCTGTCCTCAACTACAAGCTGACGATACACTTTCCGTTAAAAAGATTAGTTCTGTGAAAGGAAAGAAGCTGCGACCAAATCCAAACCTCACGGCTCCTCGAGCAAGACGTAAATTATTCGACTATCCGGTATCACGATGAATCACTATGTACTATACGTAAAAAGTAATACGGAATACTGTTCTAGAATGAAGATAAAGAAAATCAAATATGTGGAATCGTCGTCCAACCACAGCAAATGTCACAAGCAAGCTTAAGGAATTTTCTGTGCGCTTCTAAAGCTATGTTTTTGAGGTACTTGAACATCACGAAGAATCTTTTTCGAATCGCGGCGTAAAAAAACCAGAAGAAATTCACGATCACGAGTTACCTTTTAAGAAGCCGAAGTTTGTTTATCCGGATGAAGACTTCACTTCTTCGTACTGCAGTCAGATGCTAGAAAGTAAGCTTCAGATTCGTATATTGGCAGTCGAATCCTACTGCTCTCTATTTTTATGTTCCCTTTGTGTGTTTGGAGTCGGTAAGATGGCATAGAGACCGTAATTATAGCGAAAGACAAAGGGTAAATGGCGGGATGGATAAAGGAATTAATATTTTCTCCCGATATTTGTAGTCAACACAAAATCCAAACGTACATTTAACTAAATCTAAACACTTGCACAAGGTTGGCCTTCATGGAAAAATTGACTAAACATAAATTCTGCGGTCTCGCTCATGTATCTAAGCATCTCGCGTACGAGCCAAAATGGGACAGGCGGCGAAGAAGTTGAAAACAACATAAAAGCAGATTTTCCTTTAGATAGAGATTGTTCCTTCTACCTTGCTTTCAGCAAAATTGTTGAACAACTGAGAAGGGAGCGGGTGCCATAAACCAACGACATTATGCTAATGCCAACAACCAAACGCTATTCCCATGATAAATAAGAAAAGTTAGTTAGCAAGGTAGCACTACATGTTGCCCTGTTGCACAGAAGGCGTCTGAAACGGCTAGGGGTCCATAGTATTAAATCACATACAGTGAATGGCTCTTTACATGTTACCTCATGAACATCAGAAATGTGGGTTTGTACGATCGGTATGTTAACAGACATTTATATTCTTTAATATTAGACTTCATTCGTACTGCGCATCGCACTCTACTCCTAGTTGCATGGGTGGCTTCTGACGCTGACCAGGATTCGTCAGATTTTCAGAGAGAGATGGCCATTTCGAACTGTGTTAAGAATAACTGTTGTATGTCTTTGATACGTTAAAACGTTTCTACAGTTTTATCGCAGAAGGTTTTTTAGCTTATTTGTCAAGTACTTTATATTTTTTTTCACACGTAAAAATAGTAAAATAGTTTAGTTTTTCCAACTGTGCTCATATTGCACAGTGTAACTAAAGCGAACCACTCTAACGGAACTAGACACGTCTTTAAAATGGCAGATTTTTGAAATCTGTAAAATTTTCTGAAATCTTTGTTTAATTAATTATTTTCATGTCAGATTCATAGAATAAAGAATTTAATCATATTTTCCTGACGGGGATTTAACACCGACAGGTAAAGGGCTTCGATAAATCATGAATTCGAATCTCCCCTTCACATCAGAGAACAGACAATAACCGTTTCCAACATGTTATCTGCCCATTGAAGGTGAAGTAACGATTTAACTTCATTAGTACTCTTTTAGACCTCTCGCACAGCCACGGTAGTCAAGTGCTGCGACGTTGGAATGCCGGAGATAATTCACGCACCACTACGGAAGAATGCTTTGGAAAGGGTAAACTTTCAGTTTTACTCCCTGTGATCTTTTAACAATGCGCTATCCGTAGCATATTCTTGAAATGTAATAAGCGCTGAAATAGGCTATAAATAATTAAGTTCACAGTCTTTGAATCCAGGCCTGTTTAGACTGATTTGGCATATTTTATCACAATACGTAGCACAATGTCAAAGACAGAATCTGTATAAAGGAATAAATACAGAATTTGAAGCATGTAGGCAATGCAACCTCCTTTCTTCAGCGTCAACTTCCATGATATCATCTCCTTTCGGGTCACGGAGGCAGAGATGTTACGCAGTGCTTCCAACATTCCTGATCCTGTGACAGAGTCTGAGCTTCAGCAGAAGACAACTGGAGTCAAGACCAACTCCGTCCATATATTTGCACCAAGTTAATCTTGGCCGTCTCCAGGGCTTTAACCCTGTCAGCTGAGCAAGAAGTAATTCCTTTGCCTTGCTTTCTGGATGCATTCGCAATACGTGCCAAAATCATTGCAGTTGTAACTTCTCAATCTGAAGAAGCACCGACTGTACACCAAAGCTCTCGCGGATTTCTATAACCCGGACCATGTCGAAACTCTTAATGCCAG